ATTGACCTCTTCTATCCCCCAACACCATGCAAAATATACATCATGAACACCAACATTCAAACCTTCTTTTTTTAAGATACACAACATCACACCAATTCAAGATCCTATGTTAAAAATCCAACATCAAACAAATAATTCCTTTTCAACCAACTCCCTTGTTAACATTGTATGCAACATAACATTGATTCATTTATTCAACATAATAAGAAATAATTAACAAGTCTACAACCCACCCACCCACCCCCCCCCCCCCACCCACCGCACTACAATCAACACTAATATATAAACTCCAAAGAAACAAACCAATAAAAACAACAAAGAGCAATACAGAAGCAGTAAATCAGCTTAACACATAAGATGATGCTCCAATTTACAACAACCAAGCAATTAAGAGCAGAAACCTTTGTTCTAAAACACATCTTATCAGCATTTTCAAAACACATCTTATCATTTAAAAACAAGCATTTTCAGAACACATCTTATCATATATAAACAACAATATAAACCATAACTTGATAATGATCACACCAAACAATTAGTATAGGAAAACTTCAATATCGGTAACAGCATTATAAAGTCCATTGAATGGCTAATATAGGCAAACTTCATATTTGGCAAAAGCATTATTTAAGTCCACTGTACCATAAGTATTGACAAACATCATAATTTTGTAAAAGCGTCCTTTAATAAGTACAATCAATAATATTAAGCTAATTAACTTGACAAAATGAATGAAGGTAGAACTTTTGATTACCTAAACCCAATTGGTTAAAGAAAATACCTACAAAAAGATACAACCACAAAAGAAGTTTCATATATATACCATAGTCACAACCCCCGTCCCTCCTCCAAAGGTTAAAACCTTCCTCAGAAAAAACAAAACGAACATAAAGCGCATTAGTAATCCAATTAAATAATTTAAATCAGATCACATGCATGCATCAACTCCAATCATCCTATCAAAGACAAATGCAAACTTTAAAACTTACCAGAACTGCAAACCTAACTACCTAAATATGGTACACTAAACAGCATAAACAATAGACCAAATAACCCAAGAAACTAACACCCATACATCCCCAAATCCGAAATTCCATATTAATTCTAAATCTAAGCAAACACCACATCACGAAAACTATAAATGTGCAAAACATCGATCCTTAGGAAAAACAACCACCATCACTGTGAAAGCCATTAACAAACCACATAAAATGCAGACCAGAAGGAAAGAAAGAAAATAGAAAAAGCGTAAAACTGACGTGGCGAACTAATGGATGTAACATAACACCTACCCCACAAATAGCTCAATAAGGGCAGAACCGTAAAATGACCAAACTAAGTAAGGGCAATTTCGGCAAAGCTATTGCTAAGCTACAGTGCTGCGAATTTGCACTTCTCATATTTAAGGGTTGGGAGATAAACTAATCAAATCATTTGTAAAGGTATTATGAATCATTTTAATAGAATATTTGGGGTAATTTTATTTATTTAAAAGACTTTGTAGCCAATTCAACTTTCCACTTTTAATAAATTAAAGTCAACAAGTTTTAATTTGAATGGGTGAGGAAATGTTAGTTTTCTTTAGACCATCTCCATTGGTGAGATTCAACTTTGAGTATTGAAATACAAAATGAGTTGTTTTTTACCTCCAATGGTGATACCCCATCTACTTCTCAATTTAGCAACTCATGTGAAGTCCAATTCTCCAATGGTGAGACTCTCTAAAGTATACTAATGTTACTTTCAATTTATGTCCCACCAAATCCGTATTATATCTTTTATTAAAAATAAAAATAAAAATAAAACTTAAATAAATTACAAATATATTATAATATTAATAAAGGATCCACACTTTTGTCAAATGAACTCAAAGTTGAGTATCTAAACTTAGCAACTTTCTTTTGGAGTTGCTAAGTTTAGATACTAACTTCTTGGTATCCTTTGTATAAAAAAATACACTTTCTCTCCTAAATAAACTCCTCAAATTCTCACCATTGGTGATGGTCTTATAAATTCATTAAGGATAAGATAAGGAGAGCAGTTGTACAGGGTTTTTTAATAGAAAACTATATATACCCACTTAAGAACAAATTTTGCATTTTCCCAAAGGTGAACATCAAAAAGGTAAATTCTCTATCACCCTCTCTTTATTTTCCCCCACACATGCACACTTCACCACGCAATGGGTGGCCGGTGTCCCACCACCACTCGTTGTCCACTTTATAAAATGAAAATATCAAAATACTTACGTCACACTATAATTTTTTTTTAAAAAAAAGTTATACTATTATCCCTACTCATGACTAGGGATGGTAATGGATTTGGACCCGACCCGGATCCGTGGATCCAGATTCGTTTTTCACGGATCTGGGTCTTCAAATTTTAAACCCGACGGATCCGGAACCTGCTGACAAAAATGGATCTGGATCTGGATTTGGGCCTTAGACCCAAATCCAGATCCGTGGACCCGTTTTTTTTATTTTTCCTATTATAAAAACTAAAATTGTTTGTTTCTTTATTAAAAATGTTGATAATGTTAGTAATGATAAAGATTAACCCTTTCAAGAGATGAATTTTGGATGCTCATATTATATACATCATCGTTGTTTTTTCACTAGCTCATATATAACATCGTATTTTTCTTTTTTTGTTGTTGTTTATAATTTTAATTCAAAATATGAGTGTATAAGTTGGTTAATTTGGGGTTGAACTAAATAACCAACAACGTATGTTTGAAATAATTTTTTTGATCCGAACATTACATTTATTGCAGAAAATTAGGCAAAATATATTAGACCCGGATTCAGACTCGGATCCGTTGGACCCGACGGATTCGGATCCGGGTCTTCATTTTCTAGACCCAACGGATCCGGGTCGAATCTAGATCCTATATACAAAAACGGATCTGGATCCGGGTCCATCCGGACTCGGTTCATATCCGACCCGTTGTCATCCCTACTCATGACCTAGTTAATTACACTCATAATTAGAGGTGTCAAAACTACATTCACTCGACCCGATTCGAAATCGACCCAAAAAACATCCCATTCAGAGTTCAACTCGCATGGACACAATAATTTAGCATGATTTAACTTTAAAAATTGACCCGACCCGACCTAATCTCACAGTACCCAATATGAACATCCAAAATGAAACCCCTACTCATAATAATAGCTCAATCCCACTTTAAATATCTTAAATAATGTAAGATTTACTTTTTTTTAATATATATTTAAAAAAGTTAGTGTTACAAATATAAATAAACTGAGAATGTATATATACATATGACTAGTGTTTTTTATGAGATCGAATGAAAAACAAGAGGAAGCTCCATCTTGATAAACAAAATTTGTTTATAGGCTTTATTTTTTTTTATTGAAAAGCAGTTAAAAGTTTTTTGGGGCTTACCACCCATAAGAACACAAGTGAAAACCCCTACAAAGACTCACAATTGAGACAATAGGAAAGAGACAGTGTTTATAGGCTTTATTTAGCCAACATGCGCTTTTGTAATTATATCAACAATTATGGGTCCCATATAAGTACTTTGTATAAAGTTATTGATTTATTTACTACTGAAAATTTTACCATTTAATAATTACTCGGCAAAATTTGTTTATAATAAAGATGATAAACTTGTATTTTTTTCGAAACTAGGGATTTTTATGCGAGCAGATGGGCTAGTCCTTTGAGGAGAATTATTACTGATGGCCTTTATGCCTTATGCATATTTGCATGGTATTTTGTTATATCTATTAGCATGACAATTTTTAAGTACTTATTAAGACGAATTGAATAAATCAAACAAATCATCATAAAATTATATACTTCGTAATTTTTCTATTTCATATATATTAATAATAATTTAACTAAATAGTGTTTATTATATTCCAAATAGGAAAAAAAAATAAAGAAAGTAAAAGATAGTTTAAATATTGAAATAAACATAAATAGTTAATCAATTTTAAGGCTTTGGAATTCAACATAAAAAAGTTTCATATGCGGCTGGCCGCACTGTACGGCCAGCCGCAATATTTATTTATTTATTTTTATTTATTTTTCTCTCTCTTCTCTATCTCCTATTCTCTTTCCTTTTTTCTTCTTCCCACCTAAACACACCTCTTTCATGAACTTTCTTCTATCTCTCTTCTCTCCTCTTTCTCTCTCCTATTTTCATCTTCTCTAGTTAGCCCACTCAAATTAAACAAGTTAAATGGAGCAGCGGTGGTAGCGGGTAAGGAAGCTCCTCATACTCCGTCGTCGAAAAACAAGCTAGAGGTTTTAAGGCCAAATTTAGCCATGAAAACTCTAGATCTAGAGTTTTTATGGCTGAATTTCGCCTTTTTAGCCATATTTCAAGTGAAATTCGAATTCCAATATTAATTTTGAGGTATTTGTTCGATTTAATTTTTTTTTTAACTATTTTAATTAATTTTATGGTTGTGGGTTCGGTTTGGTTGGATCTAGGCGTGGTTGTTAGTGGTATGGGAGTTGGTGGTGGTGTGGTGGAGTTTAATGTTTTGAGGACGGCGGTTGAGAAAGGTTGGTGTTGGTGGTGGTTACGGTGGGTTTGGATGTGGGTAAATAGTTACCAGGTCAGGGGCTACTACGGGTTACTAGGTTGGGGTTATTAGGTTGGTCAAGGGTTACTAGGTAGGGGGTTACTAAGAGTTACTGGGTCGATTAGGGGTTATTAGGTCGGTTAGGGGTTACTTGCGGTTACTAGAGGTTACTAGGTTATGGGTTACTAGATCGGCTAGGGGTTAATGAGTTACTAGGGGTTACTAGGTCGGTTAGGGGTACTAGGGGTTACTAGGTTAGTCAGGGGTTACTTTGTCTGGGGGGTTAATAGAGGGGTTACTTAAGTGGAGTTAATTGAGAGGTTACTTAACTGGAGTTACTTAAGGGGTAAAGCCACACCAAAAATGCGCTGAAAAGAATATTTTTAGAGATACTCCGTATAAATGTTCGTGCACTATTTATAATATGTTTTGCAAACTTTTTTTCGAAAACATAACCAAAACACCAAACGTACCTTCATTAGTTGATTGGGTGCAAAGGTGTAATTGGAATCTCCAAATTCCCCCGAAATCAAAAGAGGTGGACACACTTTCTCTCTCCTACTCCTGGAAATGGCAGCCATCTCCGGCTTCCCGCCTCACTTTCTCTCTCTATCCTCGCACTATCACTCCCAAACTACTACTACTACTTCCACTTCCTTTTCCTTCTTCTACCATCATCATTCTTGCTTCCATTCAAATCGACGCTCCTGCAATTCCCAATTTTCTGTCGCTTGTCTTGCTTCCACCCCATCTACCAAGAAATCTAGGTATAATTCTTCGTGTTTCAATCAACAATTTTTGATTTATTTGTAAAAATATTTGTGGCTTTTTTTATGAAAATTTGAATTGAGTTGCAGGCCGAGTAGGAAGCTTATGAGTGATGATGAACTACGCAATGTTCTTCGAGAATTCGTTGCTTCTGTTGGATTGCCTGAGGGTCATGTTCCTTCTGTTAAGGAGCTTTCGCATCATGGAAGGTTCTGTATTTTTCATTGAATTTTCACTGAATTTTTTATATTTAATTGTGTTATTGGATTGTGTTCAATATTTTGAAATGGGTTGAATTATGTGATTTAATTGTGTGATAATTGAAGGTAAACTATGATTTTGATCTTTTGAGGATGGAATTTCTGCTGAGATTTATTAAGCTGAATTGGTATGTTGTATTTCAGTGTATCGTTTTTAGAAATTAAGGCGATTTTTCAGTCGAGCGAGCTAGGAGGAGGTTTGGGGTTGGGGGGTTGTAATGGGGGAATACAGTGGATTCTGAAAATTGAGTTACATGTACTTAATTATTCATACTTATCTAGGTTCAATTGGGTTGGAGCTTTCTATGTAATCCGGTGAACAACTTTAGTGCTGCTTGAATTCTTCTTTTGGGGTTGGAAATGCTTTGAAAGAGAGTTTTAAGTCTTAGTGACCGAATGTTATTTTTCCATAGTGCATGCTTAGTTGTGAAACTTGTGATGATACTAATTTGATGGAGATGAGGAAATTTGAGTTTGAGGGAGCATTTGGTATGGTTCGTGGAAATTGAATCAATTAGTGAGGGAAAGGGTAGTGAAAATTATTATTGTTATGCGATTTTTTGGTATGCGAATATGCGATAGAATGGAATGGAATCATTTGAGACATAGAGATAGAGTAAGAGATTAGAGAGGGTGACATGATTTGTTATCATTGGGAAGGGTAGGATGGAATCAATTACCCTCAAATATGGAAATATTTACCATAATCCTCAAACCAAGCAACCTGTGGTGTACTTTACAACTATGTTACATGGACTCATCATTCTATCTTAAGTACGCGTCTTGGACTTTCGACACTTGGACATGGGTAGGACACTTAGACACTTCATTTAGTTCAAAATTATCTTAATTTTCACTAAATAGCCGAGTTAGACAAATGGACATGTACCCTTATCAGACATGGGCACCCCTTTAAAGGCTTTATCTCTATCCCTAAATCACTTCTTTCAACATGATCCAAAAATGATACGGAGTAGTAAGAATGTTTGTAAGGGGATTTCTAATTTTTATATATATATATATATATATATTTTTTACCATGTTTCATCTTCTACTACAAACAAGTTTTTATTTTATTTTATTTTATTATTATTTTTTTCTTTATAGTGATAACTGATAAGAATAAAATTAGAAGTACATCCTATACAATTGAGTGAAAGGTAACAAATATCTCGAAGTTATTTCTTTTACTTTTTAGGGATTTTTTGGCTAGAATATGATAGTGGCTCTTTGCTGTTTAAGGGGTATGCTATTGCAACGATAGGAGCAAGGCCCAACCCTAAAAGTTTGTAAACGTTGACTTGCATATGTTCCTATTCATATGGTAAGATCTACTTCCTGCTGAGTTGTGAAGTATGACTAATAATTTATAATAAACCTTCAATGAAATGTAATTCTCTAGATTAGTGGTAGCCAAACTAGATATCCAATCTAGTTTATCCGAAACACTCCCTATGTGTTTTTTTTTTTTTTTTTTTCAAAAAACAAATAAAAGGTGCATAACTTTCCTAAACCAATCGTTTTTTTTTTAAAGCGCTTTACTTTTTTTTTTATTTTTTTTTATTTTTTTATTTTTATAGTTTTTGTTATATCTATCTCCTCAAATGTTCTCTTACTATTTATTTTATTTATATTTATATTTATATTATTTATTTATTTATTTATTTATTTCTTATTTTCTTCACATCCCTTACTTTATAATAATCTATTACCCTACTATCTCTTTTTATATTTATTTTATCATTTATCTCCTCACATCCCTTATTTCTAAATAATCTATTACTATACTATCTATTTTCTATAATTTTTTATCCCCAACAAACCCCACTTACACTATATTTTACTAAATTCAACTCATCTTTCTAAAACTACGTGCCTGTTCAACCAAAAATATATATATTTTTTTTTACCATGTTTCATCTTCTACTACAAACAAGTTTTTATTTTATTTTATTTTATTATTATTTTTTTCTTTATAGTGATAACTGATAAGAATAAAATTAGAAGTACATCCTATACAATTGAGTGAAAGGTAACAAATATCTCGAAGTTATTTCTTTTACTTTTTAGGGATTTTTTGGCTAGAATATGATAGTGGCTCTTTGCTGTTTAAGGGGTATGCTATTGCAACGATAGGAGCAAGGCCCAACCCTAAAAGTTTGTAAACGTTGACTTGCATATGTTCCTATTCATATGGTAAGATCTACTTCCTGCTGAGTTGTGAAGTATGACTAATAATTTATAATAAACCTTCAATGAAATGTAATTCTCTAGATTAGTGGTAGCCAAACTAGATATCCAATCTAGTTTATCCGAAACACTCCCTATGTGTTTTTTTTTTTTTTTTTCAAAAAAACAAATAAAAGGTGCATAACTTTCCTACACCAATCGTTTTTTTTTAAAGCGCTTTACTTTTTTTTTTTATTTTTATTTATTTTTATTTTTTTTATAGTTTTTGTTATATCTATCTCCTCAAATGTTCTCTTACTATTTATTTTATTTATATTTATATTTATATTATTTATTTATTTATTTCTTATTTTCTTCACATCCCTTACTTTATAATGATCTATTACCCTACTATCTCTTTTTATATTTATTTTATCATTTATCTCCTCACATCCCTTATTTCTAAATAATCTATTACTATACTATCTCTTTTCTATAATTTTTTATCCCCAACAAACCCCACTTACACAATATTTTACTAAATTCAACTCATCTTTCTAAAACTACGTGCCTGTTCAACCAATGCACTTAAAGAATTGGAGGGAGTATTGGACATTCAAAACTTCGGATTAAGGAAAATACATCCAAAAATAATTGGATATCCAATCCAAAATGTCTAAACATAAAAAATCTGATCAAATTTGTAGTATCTTAGACGCAAAAAACCAAATTAGATCTCCTAAATTTCTTAATGGATCGATAGGATCTCTATCGGATCGGATTATTTGACAACTTCTACTCTATTGTGTATTGGTATGTTAGTGTTATGTGCTAGTTAATGAATTCAATATACAAGTTTTTGTTGTTGAAAGCTGGGGTGTCTATTTACTTATTACAGATGCATGGTTATCCATTGAATTATTTGTCCAAAAGCATTTAATCAATTGGGAGGATAATAAGAATATTCTTCAATTCATGAGTACCATTTATCCTTAAATTATATGCCCAAATTCAATTTATTAGCGTACTTCTTCCTTAATTTCACTAGTCTCTTGGCTTGTTCATGACACTTTATTGAAATTCACAGCCAAGTCTTTCATGTTTTCAATGTAGAGACTGGGGTTGGCCACATGTGCTGGCTCAATAATCACATCTTGGGGAGCTCATCCCATCCTAGTTGGCTTCACCTCTCGACGTCCTTAGCTGCCCATTTAAAGCCTTATGTCGTCTCATATGGTGCCAGATGTAAATCACATTTTCCATTATGTGCCCCTTGCTCTATTGTGCATTCTAGGTTTTTTTGTAAGAGATAGTGTATGCATTACGTATATATAGATGGTGATATTTATTTTTGTCTACATCTTAAAATTTGCAGGAAAGATCTTGCAAACATCGTTCGAAGGAGAGGGCACAAACTTATTAAAGAGCTTCTCGCTAACTCTCCCAATATAGCAACCGATGGGTTTGATTCTTTCAAAGACATAAGTATTCATTCCATTGAAAATAGTGACCATGAGAAAACAGGTCAATTTGGTAGCTTTGTTTACTAGTCTGAGTTTTACAGTGCATACCATCCAAACTCTTTATTGATTTCTTTATCCCATTTAAAAGGTCAGGAGGAGAAGCTGGATGATTCAGCTGAAGAGCCTAAAGATATTCCTTTGGTGGATGATGATTCTGCTACTGGAACTAGCTTGGTGACACATTGTGAATCATCCTTCATTTCTAATGATGAAAGTTCTGTATCCGAAAAACATCTAATGTCCTTGCAGGATAAGGTGGAAAATTTTATGAAGTATGGACAATTAGATGCAGTTGAAGGTAAAGCCAGATACATGTAATTGTATAGTCTGTAGTATCAGATGAAACTTTAGTATCATCTCAGATTTTTAATCCCCACTTATATTCTTGTCATTCTTTTCCAATGATAACTTGCTCCTTCCAAGTGTGTTTGACCATATGGGTTACACACAATATAAGTGGCTATGTGTAATATACTAGATTTTACATTATGCTATAATTTTGTAAAGCATACTTCACTAAATATCATTTATTGAATTTACTTTCTGTAAAAGCAAGGCCTTATCTATAAAGGGTATATTCTACACCAGTCATCACCTTGATGTTTTTCCTTCTTTTAAATATTAACAATTTTCCTATATCCCCATTCTTTCTGATCAGATGATATGTATGGCAATTTAAACGTGAATGATGGCAGCAGCATTTCATATCATGGTCAGAGTTTTGTTGAAGGTGAACTGGTGAACCATAGTGAAGTGGATATGAGACATTTGGACCATGTAAGCAACAATAGTGTTGGACAGAATGGCTCCCTATTGCTAAAAAAGTTGACTTTTCCATCATTGGAGGACAAAAACAAAAGGTGCTCTTGTTTCTCCAATGTCTCCTACTCCTTTTCTATTTGTTCTTTGGGTCACTAGGTTTTGCATTTTTTTAGAATGTTGTTCCCATGGAGTCTTTTTGAGTTTTTTATTTCTCTGTTAATTATTGTTGTATTGTTGTGCAGCATGTAAATTTGTAGCTATCACATTCAACATGCTTTTAGAATAGATTTTGAAAATTTGCTGGGACAATTATGAAAAGCTTGAATAATGAACTACTGTAGAGCCTATCAATATCTCTTAATGAATATAACTAGTGGTGTCTGACGTACTTGTACTTCCATTTAAACATACGAGGTTCTTCAAACGCATCTAGGCATATCTATTGATTCTAGTATTTGGATGTGCTTAATGAATTAAGGGTCTGTCCCCCCCCCCCCCCCCCGGCCCTTATAAAAAAAATGTAATACTTCGTAATAATAATAATTTAGTTTTAGGTTGGAGTTTTCAAATGCTGTAGATAATATCTTACAATTGTGAGATATGGATTCCAAGGTGTAATAATGCAAGAATGAAATGCAAATGTTAGAACTGGTGCAGGCATGTTAGAGTATTCCGCCGATATTTGGGTATAAGGTTGCATTAAGGATCTGCATCAGATATTTTCTCTTTTTACAGGTTATGAAAAACTTTGCAAAGTTTGTAAAAGGTGAGGTGCCATGGTGTAGGTTTTTTGTACAATGATTATATATAAGCAGAGTAGGAGGTAATATATGGTAACATTTTTCATGGTAAACCAATAAGGGCATGAAAGATTGGGTCTCCTGGATCATAATTCATAATCCATTCATATTGGACAGATTGAGTAGAGAAGGATTCATGTGAGGGATTCATTGAGTTGACATCTTGATTTATGTAGATGATTCATGCTATGGCTGTTAAGGACTTAAGGTGATAATATTGTTACCATAGTGAGCTAATTAGTATTGCACAACTATGTTCAGGACTAAAGGTTTGATGATTCTAGAATCTGATATACTAGCTAACTTTCTTAGCATGTGATCTGTTTCCTTGATTCACTTTTGACAAAGTGTAAATGTCATCATGCATCATGCTACTATTGGAAACAGTTGTTATAGCTTAGGTTATTGCATTTCGATGTGTATCTGTACGATATTTCTTTTGAACTTAAAATGTTAATTTTAAGGGGACAACAATGATATGTTTATGATTTTCCCTTCCTACCTTCTTTAAAAGTTAAACAAGACGTAGAAAGTGAAACAATGCTTTGGACTACAGGTTGCCTTCATCTCTACTAAAAGGCTAGTGCTCTTTTAAGGTCGTTAAGGAACGCCAATAACAAATTTATGGTGTTCCCATCCTAGTTTGTAATGCAAAACTAAGATCTTGAAAAGAACTACAGCATGCTTTTCTCTACTGTGCCTTTGTCTCTACGTCTCTACTGAATGCCTATTGCACTTCTATTGTCTTTTAAAGGATACTAATGACTCATCTAGAATATTCCCTTTGACTTTGTAGGGATTTTAATTCATCTGTCCAAGGGCCACAAAAAACTGATTTTGATGACGATGTACACATTGAGGTTAAATCCATTTTCTTTTTGGATCATTCTACTGGTTTTTATTTCATTTTGTTGTTGTTGTTGTTGTAATAGTTACCGTTTTTTCCGCTATACACCATACAGGCTGTCAAAAAGGACAATGAAGTTGAGATCAGTCGTCTCAAACACATGCTGGTAATTATTAGCCTATTTTTTACCTTTGGAAATACTCATTTGTGTTTTCTAATGTTACAAATTACATCAATGTATATGTAATTATTTAAATTGTTCTTGCATCCCCCCCCCCCTGCCCCACTCCACTTGTTATCCCTTATTCTACCTGTGTTATGTGCAGCATCAAAAAGAGTTGGAGTTATCTCAGCTGAAAGAAGAGATTGAGAAGGAAAAGGTAGTGTCCTCCACATGAAGCCTCACCAGATCTACTCAATCAGTATATTGTATACACTTTTTTTATTTGTTCCTTTTCTTCTTTTTTTTTTTTTTTTTATTTTCAAAGTTTGGAAACTGCTTTAGTTGCCAAAAACTTAAGCTGTCAAGTAGTCTTTTGCATTCATATATCCTTTTCCTTTCTTTGATTGGCTACTGATAGATGTCAATTCTAATTTATACTCTCTCCCTTCCCCATTTAACTTCTCATTTGGATTTTCTTCAGCAAGCGTTGTCAATTTTGCAAACAAAAGCTGAAAATGAGATTATCAAAGCTCAAAAGCTTTTATCAGACAAGGATGCAGAGCTCAATGCTGCAGAAGAGAGCCTTTCTGGTCTTATGGAGGTGACCCATTTCTGATACAATTTTCTTCCACATTGACCATATAATTAGCAATGTCTTTTCAGTTAGGGTTTTTAATTTTAATAAAAGCAGTTTGATGTGTTCCCTTACTTAATTTCTGTCATTGTAAAACTTTAATTTGATTTGTCAAATTGTGCATTCAGAAGCATAGATGAAATAAAATTTGCCTTTCCTTTCTTTAGATGATATGGTTTGTTATAAAATCTAAATTTAATGTCAGTTTGATAAATTTACTCTATTTGGTGCATCAGGCAAAGATTGAGTACTCAGGAGAAGGGCAAGTGGTAGAGGTAGCTGGTAGTTTCAACGGGTGGCATCAAAGAATTAAAATGGATCCGCAACCATCATCTGCTGTAGTGGACCCTGTTGGATCAAGGTTTAATTAAACCATGATGAGTCTTCAATAATTTGAAATTGTCTTTTTCTTTTTCTTGTTTTATGTTCTTAGCATGCTGGGGGCATGGCTCCTAGTCCTTTTTGCCATGGAAATTATTCTTATCTTATGCATGTACGTAGTAAGTCTCAATATTCTTCAATTTTTGAAGATATTTTATATTTGAGAGCTACTGTGGCAACTGTTGGAATTTACTTTTTTAGTTAGAGATTTGGAGTTGCACGGGAGTGAAATTGCTATAGTGGCTAAAGTGAGTCTTATAGTTTATATTCTAATCGGTTAAGAGAAGACCACCTATGTCATACTTTCCCCCCTGGAATGAACTTGCAAGGTGTGGCATCTTGGGTGGTGCTCTTGTTGGAATTAGGTTGTGATCTGATCATCTGACAAGACCCATCAATAGTTAGCCTATATCATAGAAATAATATTGGATCGTGAAGTTTTACCTGTCAAGTGTCAACTGATGTTGGCTGAACAACTTTTGTAAGAACAAATGTATAAATTGTATTGGTAGAAAAATAGAACTATGTTTTCTTAATCTGGAAGAAGCTGCTGTGATGTTAGGACTTGGACTAGATGCCTCTTATTATAATCGCTTCGTTTTTGTAGTTGTTCCACTTTGACTATTGACAATTTGACACTTATAACAAAACTCACTTTGATCATATTTCTTTCCAAAAAAAATAACGGAGACATAAAATGATTAGGATTTGTCCCTATTTGTATTTTCAAAACTTAACTTCTTTGTAATTTGTGCTTGAGACAATAAGAGCTATGTGTTGGCAAACATGCTAGTCAAAGTAGAAGAACTAAAAAAAAAAAAGAGGGCTTATTGTTTAATGTGCACTGTTAATGAATTGATATTTTGCAACTCTTTATGTGCTTAGCTTATATTTTCATGCTCTGACGAAACTTGAAACATTTTGAGGTTTTTTGTCTGCAATTATTATATTGTTATTTGCCAATGCTTCTTATTCTGAATTAGTCCACAAGTATACGTTGATGCTTTTTAGTTATTTTTTATCCTTTTTACTTGTATACCTCTTAACCATAAACCATGCAGTTGAACTTGTTTTTCTTCTCAACGTGAACCATCAAAAAGTTAACCATGATGATAAATGTTGACAGGAAATCTAAGCTCTGGTCAACATCCTTGTGGCTATATCCTGGGGTGTACGAGGTAATAAGACATTCTACTACATTGTAATTTTTCTATTGCAACAAGAACACACAATTGCATCAAACCCACCCTGTCCCTCGTATGAGCTTACTGAGCAAGGTTTTGTTACTCCATAACAATTTTCAGATGAAATTTATCGTTGATGGGCATTGGAAAATCGATCCTGAAAGAGAATCGACCATTAAAGGTGGTGTGCAGAACAACATTCTCCGAGTTGATCGATAAAATGGCTTTGATTGGGTTTGGTAATCAAGACCCTACTGAAATAGATGGATAGATTATGGCTACTCATCAGTATAGAATTGTTATCCATAGTAAACTACCGCATTAGGGAATGTAATGTAATTCAGTTATGGACCTTCCAAGGCTTCAAGCCATGATCTTGCTTCTTATTTGGTTATAGTTATTGTCAAATAAATTTCGCCACCATTGCAGTGGCTGTCAAGCATGAAGGTTGCTGGTAATTAAAAAGGTAATCGCTCATGCATCAGATGGAGCATCCATCGTCCAAACTGGTCCATTTACTATTAAATACAAGCAGATGGAGCTTCTATCTTTCGAATTGATCCATTATGATTACATGTGATGAGTAATAAGGCTTTTTAATTGTCAATTTATGGGGTTAGTTTATGTTTTTATTAGCTTATTTACTTAGTTTTGGTCTTCTATTTTCAGAGTCTAGTTGTATTTGAATCAAAAATATTTTATTATACAGAAATATATGTACAGATTAAACAGTGTTTTTTAGTATTGTTCTATATTGTAGTTCTATCAGAACCTTTTTAATATTTAACTCTGTGATGTCTATAAAATATGTAATACTCAATATCTGCTTGGAGAGATCAACAGTATTTCATCTCTGTTCTTTCAGGTAACAAATCAAGTTCTTCCATTTCGAAGATACGTATTTATGTCCAAAAGTGCTTAATTTGTTACTCCCTTCATCCCTTAATTATATTCCTACTTTCCTCTATTATGTGAGGAATAAATATTAGAAATAGGAATGTAAATCGAGGAAGTATTTTCTATAATGTTCACTTTTTTAAATTTTTTTTTTAAAAAAAAGTTTAAATGAAATAATGAATACAGGGAATTGGAGGTAGCAGAAGAACCTATGGCGGATTACACACAGAACATATTACGTAGAAAAACACAATTTTGACTTCTTGGAAACATATGATTTTCTGATTAACTCCATAGTCAAAGAACTAGTCTTTGTCTTTTTTTTTTTTTTTTCTTGAAAACAAGTCTTTGTTCTTTATTTGCCCATTGCAATATATGAGTCGAACTTTCTTCAAAAAAACAGTCAAACTTTAATACTCCCCCCGTCCCCGATTGATAGTCACTTTTGCCATTTTTGGTGACTCAAAATGTTAGTCACATTTGCTTTTTTCAAGTACCATTAATACGGAGTATTATTTTTTTACCAAAATTCTCTAACATTTGCAAAAATATTTGTGCAAATTTAACTTTTCCATGTACTTTAATTACTTTCTCGCTCTACTTTTTTGCATACCCAATGTAAATTTACTTTTTCAATATACTTTCTTTAATTCTCCTTAATTCTCGTGATTTTTCTTCAAAAGTGACTATCAATCAGAACGGATGGAGTAATATTAATTAAAAATTCCAGTTAATTCATAAGTGATGGTATAGTTATAATTTTATATAGATCTTGTTAAATCTGTCATATTGTATATGTTATTTTCAATAAGTTATTTATTTATTTTTTTACGCCTATAGAAATTAAATTACTATATATATATGTTCATTGTTCAAAATCGGAGTCCATCTAGGGGCATAGTCCCTATTTACAAAGATTGTAAATAGGAGGGCATAGCAGTAAATTCGGCTGGCTGACTCAATAAAAGCAATATGTTTTCTTTTATTTAAAGTGTTGACTTTATTATTGACTCTGTTATTTTTTGAATTGTAACGGGGCATTTGAAAAATTGTAATTCACCTTTTGTTTCATTCTCTCTCTCTTTCATTTAATTATTTCTCTCTCTTGCTTCTCGCTCTTAAGTTCTCTGGTTTCTTCTCCTCTTTCGTCCTCCGTCGTTTGCGCTTCAAGGGCTTCATCAGAGCATACCGTTGGCTTTTGTTAGTTGAAGTGAAGTGGTGAATTCCTATCTTCCTAGGTAAGCCGTTGAATTGTGCATTTTGTGGGCTTTGTATAATTTGTGTGGGTGTTTAACGTGGTCGGTGGTAGGGTTTGAGTTAGTATGAATTTGCGTTTGCGAGTGTTTTTCATGTAATTGTTGGCGAAATTGAGCCGAATTTAATGTTTGTTGCGATTTTTACCTTTTAATTTTGGGAATTGCAGGTCAATTAGGGTTTGTGGTTAGTTTCCACTAATGTCAATTGTGGCAAAATTGTTTAGTGTAAAATGGTTTTTTACTCTTATTACCTTCGAACTCTGGGAAAAGCTGATCACCTAGGGTTTGTGATTAGAGTTTAACTGAAAAAAATTGAAGTGTGTTGTGGATGTTAGTTGGATGCGTTTTACACTCTGTTATTTAGTTATTCATGCATGAGGAGGTTGAGTTTATATATCGAATGAATGTTGAGTATGTTAAAATTATGGTCTTATTAGTAGGGTAATGATGTCCTCCCTTTATTCTAGACCTTAGTAGTTTGGAATTTCTTTTTTAGAGGTATTAGTTAATTTAGGATGAATTCAGTGTGTAAATGAAGGTTATTGATTCCATTGGTTGTTTACAAATGGATGAGTAATTAAGTACTTATGGCAGGATTGGATAATGACTAAGAGGAAATCTTCTGAAGCCGGTGGAAGTGGTGTTGTTCGTAGAAAGGATGTGGTGAGTTGATGTGTTTGTGTTGATTGTATTTTTTTGTTTGTTTACGGTTTATGTGTATTTAATTGCTGTCAATTTCTGTAATTTTTTGGGCTGTAGGGGAAATCAGTGAAGGTGAATCATGGGGTTAAACCCAAAGGTGCTAATAAAGGCAAGAAGATGGTAAATGTTGATTCTGATGCAGATCCTGATTTTGAGCAAGAGGAATTGGGGGATACTAGTAGTGGCAGGGCTCTGAAGAGAAACAATCTGATGAAGAGGATGATTCAGACACATCATATGGCAAGGGAGACGGTGGTGAGGGTGGGAAAGAAGAGGATGATACTCCTCCTTCTGGTCTACAAAATGACAAGCTGTAGGAACTCTGTTTGCAGTTGCTGCAGGAACGACTTCAAAAAGGAAAGAGGAAGGGTGGCAAATCAGTAAACAAAACAGCCAAAAAGGCGAAGGTAATGGTTAATATTGTGAAGTTAATTTCATTCATGGTAAAAATCCTTGTTATTTTTCAGAAAAACCAAGGTGAGTTAGTGAAGGAGGAAGAGCTGGTTGTAAAAACCCAGTCTAGAAGGACTTAGAAGGTAATCTCTAATCTGTGTTGACTCATGTGTTGGTTGTTAAAACCCAATCTAGATAATACATTTGAGGTTGTTGGAATGTACCATTTGTGTACTCAGTGGTGTTTATTTCTTATCATATTGTTGAAATGATGTCAAGTAATAATAATAGGAAAAGAAATGTATAAATGACCTATTATTGTAGTTCTATGACTAGCTTAGATATGTTACTTGAATATGTTTCAGTTGTTTATGCATTTGAGGTAATCCATGTGAAAATAAATGTACCACCATTATTTGAAAGTGATCGTGTGTTGAGGTATTAGGACAAGCTTAGATCTGTATCTGGAATGAGATCAACTTGTTTATGCAATTGTTTTGTATTGTGTAGGCTTTTAATCTGAATGGTGTAAAGGCATTTGGAATTTTGGTTAAGCACTTTGATAAGACGAGGAAGGATTTGGTGACTGAAATGGGGTTTGGTGGGCTGTTAAGCATACCACTTGGATCATTTGCCTCGTAAATTTGCTTAACTGCTGTTGTCAAGGATTGATGGAGATGGTTCCATGGTATTTGGAGATGATTATGTATGTCCTCTGTGTCCAGCTTAGGTGGAGTGGGTGCTTGATATACCCATGGGTTCCAAGCCAGTTTCATCTACCATTCCGGAGGATGATGAAGTGATGAAAGCTGAGTGGAAGCGAATTTCTGGACTATTTGGCAAACCTAGGGAGAGCATTCCTGTAGCAGCTGCGGCTGCCACAGTTCGTGCTGACAAAAAAGGGAAGTTGTTACCTATTAAAACAGACAAGGAAAAGTCTGAGTTTAAGATTGCATTTCTGGTTGTTGCTCTTGGGCACATACTGTGTACCACCACAAACACATCAAATCTGGCAGTAGCTTTGGGACCTGCTCTCACTGCTTACAATGATGCTGCAAACTAAAATTGGTGCAGTTTGACTTATTCTTGGATGTGCGCAACAGCTAGGAAATTCCAGAAGAAATTTGATGCAAGAGGCTATGTTGCAGGCGGTGGAGGTTGCATTTTGTTTGCGTTGGTAAGCAATGTAGTACTGTATCTTATAAATTGTTGTTGAATAATGTTTTAGATTGGTACACGTGAAGGGATTTCTCTTGTTTATGATTAGTTGTTGACATAATCTTTAATGCATATATGTTGTAGATCTTTTATATTGACCATCTGGATCGGGTACCCAAGTCTTGGGGAATAATTCGAGATTGGCGGCCTGGTCACAGGAAGAAATCAGCGTAGTTGTGAAAGAGGACCAAAAGAAGACGGGGGACTATGGTATGTCGCTGGTAAGTGTTAAAATCATTGTGGTCTTACTTGACAAGTTGACATCATTGTGTATTGTGTAGTTGTGTTTCGTTTGATTAAGTATGTTTGTTGTGCAGTCCTTGAATATTGCATACGGTGAGGACCATCTGCCGGCACCCCGTGAAATATGAATACACGTGAAATCTCTTTATGTATGCAGGTGGTTTCTAGAGTGGTGGCTGATTTGACTCCAAATTTCATGGATGCAATTGTTGCGAAAATGGGTACGATGCTATATAATATGAATGAAATATTCAAAGAGAGTCTGGCCGCGTCGGCCGCGACTGAGCAACCAATGAAAGGGGCTGTTAAGAAAACTTTACCGATGGAAAAACACCCTGAGGTTGATAAAACAGATGGGAATAAGAATGGGAATAAAAAAACTGAATTTGTGGTTGATTCCGGTGTGGTGGAGGTGGATAAAACAGATGGTAAGGAGAATGATTTGTTTGAAAGAAGTGGTGACGGTGCAGCTGGTAATGATGGAGCTGGTAATGGTGGGAAAACCACTGAGATTGATGTTGAGAAGGTTGCAGCTGAGTGTCTGAAGGATGCCTTGGTAGGGGGTGTTGATGATGAGGATGCAGAGCAGGGTGGTGAAGGGGGTAAAAATCTTGAAGTTGTTGAAGGGGATGATGTCAATGACAATGAGGGAGACACTCCTCGTTCTGAAGATGATGAAGAACAGGAGGATGATGAGTCTCCCCAAGCAGGAGGAGAGTTTGTTGTGAAAACAGTCGGGTCAAGGGGGACGAATGTGTTGGTGGCTGCCGGTTGTAGTGAGACAGACTCTGACGGTGAAGAGATGTCTCCGTCCAATGGCAATGAAAATTCACGAAATGCAGACAAGAGGGTTATAAAACCTACTGCTATAGCAGGAACTGCAGACACCCGTAGGCACACGACGCTGGAGGCAAGGATGCTGCTGTACGTGCAGCAATGGAAAGAGTTGAAAGACCCTACTTGGTATGTGTTGCTGATCTCTGTGTAATGAAGTTGTAAATTTTGCCATTTATAATCACTTAAC